GTCCCTGTTTTTAGTCCTGCCTTTGTCCAGCGTATTCTTTACACTATATGCAGAATGATAGGTAAAAGACCTCAGTTGGAATTATAATCAGCATCTCAACCTTAATTGGTTCCAAACTAAACCTCCTCCTCCCATTTTTTCCATTGTAATAAATACCAATTCATAATTTTAATTGCCAAGGCCAGAAGTCTTTGGCATCATCCTTGCCTGCTCACTTTCTCTCATACCACACACCCAGTCCATCATCAAGTGCTATTGGCTCAACCTTCCAAATAGAATTGGAACCCAACCTTTCTCACCACCTCTGTAGCTGTCAGCCTAGTGCAGCTACCATCTAGATTATCTCAATAACTACATCCTCAGTGCCCTGGTGAGTCTCTTGTCTTCTAAAACTGTGCTCTCCACAACAGTAGCTGCTAGCCAGCAGTGACTGTGGAGCTTTAGAAATATGGGTTATCTAAACTGAGATATGTTCTAAAAATACATAGTGGACATAAAATAATTAGTATACAGAGAGGATGAGAAATAGTTCATTAACAATATCTCATATTGATTATATATTGAAACAACATCTTGGATAGGTTGGATTAAAACTGTGTTATTAGAATGAGTTTCATGTTTCTTTTTACTTCTTTCAGTGTGATTATTAGAAAAATTAAAATCACAGATGTGACCCGGTATTTATATTGCTCTTGGGCAGCTCTGAAGTCTTTTTTAAACACAGCAGCCAGAGCTCTCCATTTGAAATGTCAGAGCTTTTCATTGTTGGGCCCGAACCCCCCAGAGGCTCTCCAGCGCACTCAGGAGGGACAAGCCAGTCTTCAGTGGGCTGCTAGGACCAGTATGGTTCTGGTCTTTGAGCCCCTGTTCCTCCCACTATTAAGGTCTCTCCAGCTCTGAGGGCCTCTGCAAGTATATCCATCACTGAGCACACCCTCCCCCGATGGCTGGTGGCTTCCCCTTCACTCCTTCAAGTGTCGGCTCTGGTGTCCTTGATCAGCAATGAGCAGAGAGGCCCATCCTGGATGCACCATCTACATCGGCAGACTGACAGTCTGCTTCCCCGCACACACTCAGCATGAACGTTTTCATCTTGTTTTGACTTCATTTCAAGTGACTCCCTCCCCACTACCAGTAGAACAAATTCCAAACTGCTTGGTCTGTCTAGATGTCCCAGTAGGATTTAGCCACTTTCTGACTCTCCAGCACGTTTCTCACTGTTCATCTAAGCAGCCCACGTGCCATCCATGCCAAGTCACTTGCGTGCTAAGTCGCTTCAGTCGTGTCCAACTCTTTGCCACCCTGTGGACTGTAGCCCACCAGGCTCCTCCATCCAGGGGGATTCTCCAGGCAAGAATACTGGAGTGGGTTACCGTGCCCTCCTCCAGGGGATCTTCCCGACCCAGGGATCAAACCTTCATCTCTCATGTCTCCTGCATTGGCAGGCAGGTTCTTTACCACTAGCACCATCTGGGAAATCCAAATCACTTGCAGGAAATTCCAAATTAGAAAAAGGGATAAATAATCTATCAGATGTGCAAAGGATTATTATTAACCTAAGATATACTCTCATATAGAACAATATTAATTGAACATCAAACATTGGATAGCTTGTAAGTAGCAACAACTTTTTAATCCTTTGCATTCCACTGACAGACATCCCATAAAATGTATGTTAATGTAATCAACCCCAAAGGCAAATGATATACTCACCAATCAAGACTTAAATCTTCGTGAAAGGATTTCTCCACAAATAAGATTTCCTTCCTCACACTTAGTTTCTTCCATAGCAGTGAGCACACACACAGTTTTTCTCCTTCTAATTAAAAACAAAACATAACTTATCAATAACTTCTTTAGATTCTTCATTGTAAGAAAGTTACATAGAATGGATGTTTCTATTGTGGATAATCAGAAAAAGCAAGAGTTTATAGTTTGGTGATAAATAAGTAAACCTTTCAGAAATGTTTATTGTTCCAGCTCATTAAAATGCCATGTCTTTTGGACAGTATTTCTTAAAGGCCATAAAATTAATTGTGTATTTCAGAAGTTTTATTGGCACATATTTCCTAAGTCGAATTCAGCCCTCGTGTTTAATTGTGCTGTCTCATACAGGCTGGAAGCCTGGCCATTAATATTATTTTTCTGTTTTAAAAGAAAAACAGTTTCCTCCAGGGCTAGCTTCCATATTCTTGAATGTGGTCATTTCACACTGTCGTGCATTTTCATGTGCTGAAATCTTGAGACTCTGTCAGAGCTAATCTGGATCTGGTATTTCTTTGTGTCTTAAAATTATGCTGAAATGTCAATTAATAACTCATCATGTCCCCTGGCCTGGCAAAATATACCAAACTAAAATCCTGCATGTCAGCTACTGAAGTTCAGTTTTAAATCTTTCACTTACACAAAGCAAGGAGGGTGCAATAAACATTTATTGAGTACCTGCAATATAACAGGCATTGTGCATGGACTCCAGGTTGTTCAGCACATGCGTATGCTCAAATGTAGAAAATCCAACTTTGTTTATCATGCCTTCCATAAATGCACCGCATAGTAAACTACTTCATTTTTCTCTTCAAAGCACTTGCCTTCCACCCACTTGTTCTAAGTATTGGGGACACAGCACCAAATGACATCCTTTGGTTCAGTTCATAACAGCATCCCAAAAGGTGGTGTCCTAGAATTGTCCAGTCAGAAGGCAGGAAGGCATGGACATTTATCCACTCTCATTCTGGGGCTGTGGCGAGACCCTGAGATGGGGACTGGCATGGCAGAGTCACCAGACATCACAGCTGTGCTGAGCCCAGGTGGGTGGGAGAGAGATACAGGGACCAGAATCATCTGCTGTATGTGGCGTATATTCGAACATGAGGTTAGAGGCTTTTCCTTTTACTGCCACTGTATTGCCTGCATCCAAACAAGTGCCAGGTACACGGGTTCATATAAGTGACTTAAGTGTCTGGGCTTCCCAGGTGGCGCTAGTGGTAAAGAACCCACCTGCCAATGCAAGAGACACAGAAGATGCTGGTTTGATCCCTGGGTCGGGAAGATCCCCTAGAGGAGGAAATGGCAACCCACTCCAGTATCCTTGCCTGGAGAATTCCATGAACAAAGGAGCCAGGGGGCTATAGTCCATGGGCTTGCAAGAGTCAGACACGACTGAAGCAACTGAGCATACACGTGTGCAATAAGTATCTATTGGATGAAGATGAAATCATTGAGAGGAAATGGTGAATCCATGAGTGAACAGTCCAATGTGAAATTTTCCAAGTGGATTAAGTATTTTAGTGTGGCTATCGGTATCTTAGGAAATTCAAGATCTCTAATCTGTGGCTATTGCGATGGCAGCATTCAGCCTATGTCCCATCTGTTCATGCCTCTCTTCTCTGGATTTTTTAACCATTAGTCCATTTAGGTCAGGAGGAAAAGGGGGTACCAGAGGATGAGATATTTGGATGGCATCACTGACTCCATGGACATGAGTTTGCGCCAACTCCAAGATAGTGAAGGACAGAGGAGCCTGATGCTGCAGTCCATAGGGTCGCACAGAGTCCTACACGACTGAGCAACTGAACAAGAGATTCCATTTAGAGTGGCTAGCATAAGGTTTAGTTTTAGACTCAGTTTTCTCCTTTGCTCCTGAATGATGGTTTAGCTAACACATTCATGAAGTCATGATTTGAGTTAAATTTTAAAAGAGGGACAGCATTTCTGTGAGTGAAAATGGAGTGCAAAGAAGACCAAAAAAACCAAATACATGGGGATAAGAAATCTGAGTGTGTTTTCAGATGGCAGAGAGCTTAGGCTATGAGTGTGTTTGTGAGAATAAAAAGAAATCTTTGAAATATAATTGGAGCTACAGTTTGCCAAGCCTTTGAGTAGCAGGCTAAAACATCTTCACCTCTTCATGAACCGTCCAGTTACTGATTGTGACATCCTGCGTCCACAACACAGTCTACACTCTGTACTGTATGCTGTATATAAAATTGTCCTGTCCCAATCCTGTTGATCTCCCAAGACCCTAACCCATTTCACCTCTGGCATCACATTCTTCTCAAATACTCAGGTCCACCTAGATATCTTCCCTAACTTTTTTTTTTTTTTTTTTTTGCCCTTCTTAATTCCTACTCACCTAATTTTTGGCATTGTTTAACTTTTTATATGTTCTTTCTTCACTCCACAGCTACTTACAAAGTCAGTCAAGGACACACTAGTTCTTTTTATCCCATCTCAGCAGGCAGAATATATACCCAGAAAAGATGTTGTAAATAGTTGGAAAGTTAAAAAAAGCATCCAGTTTGATGATGCTTCTCTGAATCTCTTGTATACATGAATTTTAAAAATATTTGAGGGAAAACATTAGTGGCATATACCATATACTGATTTTTTATAAACTTTTTTATAAACTTTTTTATAAACTTTGTATACCTGTTTTCTATGTGCATCCAGAGAGGTGAGAGGAATAGAGGGAGAGGTCTGTATGAGAGTGCGGGTATGTTTTAATATGCTCCAGAACTTTCTGTCGTCTAAACCTCAGACAGTGGAAGAATCCAAGTGATCAGACTAGATTTCCTTAGCTTTCACAAAAAATTTAGAAAATGTAATTTTAAAAAATTTGATCTAAAGGTGTGCACATATCTTGATTTTTAATTTGGTACCACTTAAAGCACATTAAAATGATAAAGTTATAAAACTTCTTTGATTAAACCACATGTATTTGTTATACTCGCCACTGATAATGGAAATGCCTAATACAGATTTCCTTTCAATTGTTGTATTTAGTCATTATAATAGTCACTGTAAACAGTGCAGTTTTCCTACTAGGAGATTCATCTTTTGTTAAATTCCTTCCTTTCCTCCCTGCCTCCTGCCCTGTTGTTTCTCTTTCTCATTTTCTCTCTCTCTCTCTCACACATACCCTCAGTTTTTGCTTCTTTCCTGCATAGTTTTGCTTTGAATTATTCTTGATGGAATCTTGTTTTTGTCGGCTTATTTCCTAGATGGGAAGTGATGGAATTTTACGCCTCAGTACTTCAGCTCTAAATAATGAATTCTTTGCATATGCAGCACAAGGCTGGAAACAGCGACTGGCAGAAGGTAAATTTCTATTTTCCATTATTATTTGACAGATTTGAGTACACATACTGTTCTGAGATTTGCACTCTTCTCTGATTCCCAAGTCATTTCCCCCACTGAAGTATACTTGAATTAAAACTCACATCCTATTTCAAATGACTTCATTAATTCTGTTATTATACTTGACAATTTTGATGTCCAGGATTTTTGAAGAAAGCATGGCCTTATCTGGAACATAACATTTTGATATAGCAAGATATTCTTTGGAATAATCATTTTAATTATATGTTTGATATATTATATATTTTCTTAATGCCTAAGACTCTGAAGAATCTTCTTTTAATATTGTCTTCCCCTGAAGCCACACTTTGCCTTATCCTTCCTTTAGTCATCACTCTTCTTGAAAAACTAGAAAATATCCAGTGTTACTACAATTTTACTCCCTTCCCCATGCACATTGTTATGGCTGAGTGTGGCCCATACACAGTGGAAACAGTTCTTTCTAGAGAATACGAATTGCTTTCTGGTTTTAAAGTCCAGTTTCCTTTCCTCTGTCCTACCTTTCATGTTTCTTCTCCAATATCTCACTTGTTGTCTACCCCATCCAATACCATTCGTATCTCTGGGCTTTGTGAACTAATTACTTTATGAAAGCTTGGTCACTTTTCAAAAGCTAACTCAAGAATCAGGCTCTATGCATGGTCTTCCCTAATTGATTTAGGCAGAATTAAGTGCTTTTCCTTTCTGTACTTTCACTACATTTATTCTTGTGACTTTTTACAGGGTTTTCTACATTATAATAGTCAACTGTGTGCTTTTTCTTTCACCAGATCGGTTGAAGCCATCTCCGTTAGACATTCATAATATATCTTAAGTTGCGTCCCAGGTACCTTTCTGACAGCCATTTCTCAGCTTCCTTCAGGAGTTCCTGTTCTTCCACCTGCCAGTAATGGTGATGCCTCCACCATTCTCTTCCCTGTTCTTCGCTTTTATAACTCTTCATGTACTCTGAGCAGCCTTATTCAGCACCAGGATTCCAGCTATGCCCCAGATGCCAAAAACGTCCAACATTGTCTTCAGCTACTCTTTCCCAGTCCTCAGTGCTGCGTTCCACAAGTCTGCAGGGTCTTCCTAGCATCAAGCCCCTCAAAACCAAAATGCCAGCATTAAATTCTCTTCCCTTTAAATGTCTACCATTTCTTCTGCCTTCTGTCTGCTAAGGTCCTCCCTTTTCTCACACTCCTAACTCTGAAACCGTAATGATATCTTTGTTCCTCTCCCTTCTCCCCAAGCCCATCTGGTTAGGAACTTGAGTTTTTGAATCTGCATCTTCTTCAACGTTCTCAAGATGTTGGCCTGACTGTAATCTCCATCCCTCATCTGTGCTACTTAGTAGCCTCCCTGCAGATTTCTAAGTTGCTTATTTGGACATTTTCCTCCCTCCCTGAACACCTCCAGGACCTCCCTCAGTCTCTTACGGAAAAAAATCCAGGGCTCTCTTTAAAACGTGTATTGGTTAATTGACCACAGCCTATCTTTCCTATTCCGTTTCATCCTGTATTTTACTCACTATTGGCCTCTTAAAAGAACATAAATATATATGTTCATATCTCTGTGCCTTGTGAGCTAATGACCTTATGAAAGCTTGGTCATCTTTCAAAGGCTAACTCAAGAATTAGATTCAGTAGATGGTCTTTCTTAATTTAGGCAGAATTAAGTACTTTCCCTACATTTATGAATATTCTTACTTATGGCCTATATAGGGCTTTCCACCTTGTATGGTTATACTCAACTGTGTGCTTTTGCTTTCACAAGACTGGTTTCATCAAGGACACTGAATATACACAATTACATTTACCTCCTCTAGTACACAGTACATTTACTAAATGCTTTTGAGTCTGTCTGTGACTAAATGACTGAGTGATGTTCATAAAAAAGAGAAGCCATAGAAATATCATTAGCATTCAACCTTTTACTTTTCAGTATTCATAAACATTTACTCATATTAGTTACATATTTTCTTTATTAATTGGCAAAAGATATGACAGCTTTTCCTCAATATCTAAGCATTTTCTTTCTAGGAGAGTTTACTCCAGAAATGCAATTGCGGATAAGGCAAGAAATTGAGAAGGAAAAGAAAACAGAACCCTGGAAAGAAAAATTCTTTGAAAGGTTTTATGGAGAAAAGTAAGTACTAGAGCATTTTTTTTCTCATTTCTCTTAGAAGGAAATGAAAGTGTAATTCTCTTGCTTCACATAGCACACTCATGTGCTGTAAAACTTAATAAACCTATGATAAAAGGCAATAGTCCCTCGGTGTAAGAAATTGCAGGTAAAATTATAGTGGCATATCAGCACTTAAATTTTTTTTTAAATGTATTTTCAAGGGTTTATAACTTGTCCATGAAAATTCATTTTGGACTGAAAATAGCACATGAAATTCCAGAGAAGTCAATTTTGTCTTTCTTAACTGGATTTTAGTAAAAATCTCCTATTTTTTTAGTCTAAGTATTTTCATTAATAAATCATTAGAGATAAGCAGCCTTAAACACATATTTATTTCTCACATTTTTCCAAAAATGTTGACTCTGAGTATACATTTGTTTAGTCCTTATTTTAAGGAAAACCTGAAGTACTATGTATTGCTCTATCCATTTTCCTCGTTCTTTATAACCAGTTTTTTTTTTTTAAAAAAAAAAACCTTTATTTTACTCAAGGGTAGTTGATTTACAGAGTTGTAATAATTTCTTCTCTACAGTGGTGATTCAGTGTATGTATGTATAATAAATATATACTATACATTCTTTTTATATTCTTTTCCATTATGGATTATCACAGGGTATTGAATATAGCTCCATCCATGTGATATATGGGCTTCCCTGGTGACTCAAGTCAGTAAAGAATCCACCTGCAAGGCAGGAGACTACTTGCACGTAGGAAACCGAAGTGCTATCCCTAGGTCGGGAAGATCCCCTGGAGAAGGAAATGACAACCCACTCCAGTATTCTTGCCTGGAGAATCCCAGGGACGGAGGAGCCTGGCGGGCTACAGTCCATGGGATCGCAAGAGTTGTACACACTTAGCAACTAAACCCCCACTGTGTGATCAGTAAGACCTTGTTGTTCATCTATCCTGTATATAATGCTTTGCATCTGCTAATGTCAAACTCCCAATCCATCTCTCTCCTACCCTCTGGCAACCGCAAGTCTGTTATCTATGTCTGCGAGTCTCTTTTGTAGATAAGTTCATCTGTGTCGTATTTTAGATTCCACATACAAGTGGTAACATATTGTAAATGTCTGACTTAACGTTTAGGGTGATAATCTCTAGGTCCATCCATGTTGCTGCAAATGATATTATTCCATTGGGTTTTATGACTGAGTAGTATTCCATTGTGTTTATGTACCACATCTTCTTTATCTGTTCATCTGTCAATGGACACTTAGGTTGTTTTCACATCTTGGCTATTTTCAACAGTGCTGCTCTGAACATTGGGGGTGCATGTATCTTTCTGAATTATAGTTTTGTCCAGATCTTTGCCCAGGAGTGGGATTATTGCCTTATATGACAATGGTATTTTTATTTTTTTGAGGAATCTTCATGCTGTTTTCCATAGTAGCTGTACCAGTTTACATTCTCATCAATACTGGAGGAGGGTATAACCACTTTTTAATTTATTATTTTTATGTGTGTGTTTTAAAAGATAATACCAGACATATATAAGCGTGGTAGTGACTGAACTAAATTGAAAGCATTCCCTCCTTTGCCTCCAAGTTAACAGGGACACATTCTCCTTGAGCAGAATTTGAGTCTCACAGACCATCAGATTTGTAAGAAAAAAAGAGGGATTTAAGAGCTGACAGTTGACAGTAACTTTAGATAATCTTGGGCTCCCCTAGTGGCTCAGCTGGTAAAGAATCCACCTGCAACGCGGGATTGCAACGCGGGATTGCAACGCGGGACCTGGGTTGGGAAGATCCTCTGGAGAAGAGAATGGCAACCCACTCCAGGACTCTGGCCTGGAGAATTCCATGGGGTCACAAAGAGTCGGATATGACTGAGCGACTTTCACTCACTTTAGATCATCTTAGGTAGAAGAATTTGTGCTTTAATTCTCACAAACACAACTGATGCTTGAAAGTGGTGTTTTGTGTAGAAGACACTAAGGTGATTGTAGGCAATACAACTTGCGCCATTTGATCTAATTTCACAAAACTTGCCTGTAAATGAGGACAGATGTCAGAGGGAATCTCACATGAGTGCTCCTCATCCCTGGTGAATTGTCCTGAGTAGCCATCTTCAAGAGGAGGAAGGCTCCTTTTCAGTTGCTGCCCTGAGACCTTGGATGTATAGACATATTTAAGCAAAACTAAAAGGCTCCTTTCTCAAAAATTAAAATTGTGGCAGGCTAGTTACCAGCCTTCTTGTATCATTACTAGCACTATTACTCAAGCCTGCCAGCATCACAGTCCTCATTGCAGCTTTTAAAACTAGATACAAGACTTTTCTGGTGGTCCAGTGGTTAAGAATCTGCCTGCCGACTCAGGGGACACTGGTTATCCCTAGGCTGGGAAGATTCCACCTGCCACAGGGCAGTTAAGCCCTTGTGCTGGAACTATTGAGTCCACGTGCTACAACTGAGGCAGCCCGTGCACCTGGAGCCTGTGCTCCACAACAAGAGAAGCCACCACAATGAAAAGCCTGGGCCCCATAACAAAGAGTAGCCCCTGCTTGCCAAAACTGGAGAGAGCCCGCACACAAAACAAGGACCCAGTGCAACCATAAATAAATTAATTACATTAAAAAACAGATCAGATACAGATTTAGGACACCCACCCCAGACATACTGATTGGGGATCTCCAGGAGTTGAACCCTGGAATCTGTATTTCTAGATGCTTCTCCATCATGCCGATGTCCAGCAAGATTAAGAACCCTACCTTCCTTGTCTTTTCTGACAAAGGGAGTGTTGTTGGGAGCACGCTTGTCAGTAATGGAAGAAGCATAAGCAAGTTAGTCACCTCCAAAGAACCTGTCCTTAGTTTTTGTTGCGTGTTGGGCCTGTTCTTTTATCAACTCAGTCTTCATCAAGCCTTGCCTTTGTGCCATACACACACTGTGTCAGACAGCCCATGTTGTAATACCATACAGAGACTTTTCCTCAGTCAGCACAAAATCACCAAGCATACTCAGGCTCTAATAGGTTTCTAAGAGCTTTGCAAATATTGTTTCACTTAATCTTCTCAACTGTCCTATAAGGTGGATACCATTATTACTCTTAGTTTAAAAAAAAAAAGGTTTAGGAAACTGAGAGGCAGTGAAACTAATTTCCCCAGGTGTACACAGTATGGTTAAGTAATTTGCTCAGTGTCTTAATCCTGCAAATCCTACTCAGAAAACTTCACACATCTACAGTTTTTGGCATGAGATTTGGGGGCTCCGTGGGCTCTCATGAATATCAGGTTAAAGACCCCTGCCCTGGAAGGGGATAGCTACAATGCTGTGAGTAAACACGACTCCCCAGCAGCATCACTGAGTTCTGAATACAAGTTCTTTTATTTAATTGACACTTTGCTCGCTGTAGTTTATCCATAGAGTTTCTGTCCCATTACCTCCCTGGACTTCTTGCTTATCTTTTATGATCTTTGATTCCATACTGGATGACTGATGCATTTTGGGCATTTCATTGACTGCCCTTCTAATTTCCTTACTCTGAGATTGCCTATATTCCCTCAGTACAGGAGGGACACTTCCCTCGCATCAGATAATTTTCAGTTGACTGACACCATGTGCCTTCTCGTTGCTCTGAGTTCTCCCAAGAATGTTACCATTGAAACTCACCTTTAGTTAAGATCTGTCTGATTTAGTTTTCTGCTCTTTGTGATCTTTATTTTGGTTCTTACTGGTTTACTCTGCCTTTAATCCAGGGTTGTTGTTCAGTCGCTAACTCTCTGCGACCTCATGGGCTGCGGCATGCCAGGCTTCCCGGTCCTTCAGCATCTCCTGGAGTTTGCTCAAACTTGTGTCCATTGAGTCAGTGATGCCATCCAACCATCTCATCCTCTGCCACCCCTTTCTTCTTTTGCCCTCAGTTCTTCCTAGCATCAGGTTCTTTTCTGATGGAATGAGTTAGCTCTTCACATCAGGATCAGGTGGCCAAAGTATTGGAACTTCAGCTTCGCCTCAGTCCTTTCAGTGAATATTCAGGGTTGATTTCCTTGAGGATTTTTAATACAGTACTGTCTTAAATTTGTTTTAATTACTTATGGAGATGCTATGAATATGCTAACTCAAAATTATAGTATATATTTAATAATATTCTTGTGAATCATCTAGCTGAAACTTGGATGCCGGTGCGTAGGTTCTGTATGTTCTCTATCTAATCTAGTATCAGTGATATCTCTGCTTGATCTGGCCCCAAGAGACCTTATATCTAGCTAATTTTTCTGTTCTAAATTCATCTGTTGTGTAGTTATATTATTCTTTCCTTCTTTGTTTAATATAAATTGTGGTTTAATTTGAACCCATCTTAGGGAAAGCTGAAAGAAGCGAGACTAATTATGAAGGAAATATCCTCTATCTTTCTCAGCTTTCTGAATTTTAGTGAAGGCGGCAATGATCAAATACCCAAAAAGCACATTCTTTCTTACTTCCTTTTTATTTTGAGGATTTAATTTAAGTAAAAGGTTGAAGAAGATTTTACTGAGGTATTTTCTTGTTACAGCTCTATTTCCTCACTCAAATATGTTTCTTCCTCTGGGAATATTCTCTCTCCTGCTCATCCTTGTAATTGCCTGCACTCTAATTTAACTTCATTTAGAACAGCATATTTCCCTACCATCTGATGCTAACATTGTAACTTAGTATGATAGGAAATAGTGATTTACAATATTATCAGTTGTAATTCTGATTAACTTTGTCTTATGACCTGAACATTAGGCTTGGCTCTTTCTTGATATTCTATACTATCTTTTTATGGAATATTTTTACTGTAAGAGATCTACATGAAAGAACTGAAATGTCTTGCCTCACAGAGATGTAATCTAGCAGAATCAACTTTGATGACCCCAGCCATATTTATTATTCTTTAATGAAATTTCCATCATATCGTAGGGACATTTAGATACTAAAATAAGGTGATAGACATCTTTTACATTGGGTTAAGAGAACTTAATCTTTGGAAGTCATTTCAGTTACAGAATTTTACAACATATCCATCTTTCATTTATTTTAATTATTTGGTTATGTTGCATTTTTTGAGGACTATGAGATTTTCTACTGTAAAGATATATTTATACTTTCTGAGTATAAAAGTTTAGGTTTTTTAATATTCTTTTGCCTTTCAGCCCATATTTTTTTAATCTTTTGTACTATGTAATTTTCTTATTACTAATACTTGGTAGAGTTGATATTTCCTTGCTTATAGAATAACAATCAATACTTTTTTTAAAACCAAAAGTTTATTTTTGGGATTCCCAGGTGACTCAGTGGTAAAGAATATGCCTGCCAAAGCAGGAGCCATAGGAGACACTAATTCAATCCCTGGGTCAGGAAGATCCCCTGGAGGAGGAAATGGCAACCCACTCCAGTATTCTTACCTGGAGAATCCCATAGACAGAGGAGCCTGGCAGGCTGAAGTCCATGGAGTTTCAAAGAATCAGACATGACTGAGTGAGCATGCATGCAGAGTTTATTTTAGTTATGATTATAAAAGCAGTCTTCCCACGTGGCTTAATGGTAAAGAATTGCCTGCCAGTGCAGGAGATGCAGGTTCGATCCCTGGGTCAGGAAGATCCCGTGGAGAGGGAAATGACAACCCACTCCAGTATTCTTGCCTGAAGAATACCATGGACTGAGGAGCCTGGCAGGCTGCAGTCCATGGGGTCGCAAAGAGTTGGACACAGCTGAGCAATTGAGTACATGAAAGGAGTAGAAAACCTAAGCCATCATAAACTAGTTTACATAGGCTAAGCATGCTGCTTAGTAATAATAAAATTAATTTGATGCATTTACTTCTATGAATGCTATATTTGGTGAGAGATCCAAGTTGTACCTTTCATGTTTTGTGGTTGAACAATAATTTAGTATTTCTAATTTCTGTTCAGGTTGGGCATGTCAAGAGAGGACTCTGTAAAGCTCACATCTGGACCAAACATTGATGGAGCTGAAAGTAGTTCTTCATGTGGGACCCCTGGCCTTCCCAGTCTTTCTGCACAGACTCCTTTGAAAGAACAACAGCCAAAAAGCATGAAAAGCCCAACTTCTCCAGAGCCTGAATTCTGTGCTACGCTTTGTCCTATGGTAGATGTAGGCAAAGATGTAATGACAGAGTCAGAATCAGAGGACATCTTGATCCCTGAAGAATCTGTGATTCAGGAGGAAATTGCAGAAGAGGTTGAGACCAGCATCTGTGAGTGCCAGGATGAGAATCACAAGACAATACCTGAATTTTCTGAGGAGTTGGAAAATCCAGTCACCTCTCATGAAGAGCCACAAATGGCACCTCCTGAAGATCACGTGGAGTCTTGTGTTATGATGAATGATGTTTTGGAAACTTTGCCTCCTATCGAAGTTAACGTGGAAGAGAAATCAGAGTCTCCCCAGGAAGAGATGTCTGTTGTCATTGATCAGCTGGAAGTCTGTGACTCCCTCATTCCTTCCACTTTATCTGTGAGTCATGTTAGTGACACAGAACATAAAGAGCCAGAAACTGCACTAGAGACCAACACTCCAAAAATTAAAACAGGGTCAGCGTCCCTAGAAGGCCGATTTCCAAGTGAGGGCATTGCCGTGGATATGGAGTTGCAGAGCGAGCCTGATGAGCAGCTTTCTGAAAATGCCTGCATCTCTGAAACATCCTTCTCTTCTGAGAGCCCAGAGGGAGCCTGTACCAGTCTGACATCCCCAGGAGGGGAAAACCAGTCCACTTCAGAGGAGTCGTGTACCCCAACCTCCCTTGAGACAACGTTTTGTTCTGAGGTGTCCAGCACTGAAAATGTGGACAAATATAATCAGAGAAATTCCACTGATGAAAATCTTCATGCATCTTTGCTGTCAGAAATCTCTCCAATATCCACCTCACCTGAGACATCAGAAGCATCTTTGATGTCCAATTTGCCTTTGACATCAGAAGCATCCCCAGTGTCAAATTTACCTTTAACATCAGAAACTTCGCCCATGTCTGATTTACCTTTGACATCAGAAACTTCTTCAGTGTCTTCCATGCTTCTCACACCCGAGACCACTTTTATATCCAGTTTGCCACTTCCTTCAGAAACATCTCCAGTTTCCAGTTCTTCCATGAATGAAAGAATGGTGCAGCAACAAAGAAAGTCCACTTCTGTATCTGAAGAACCACCCTCCCCACAGAAAGATGAAGGTTCTGCCCCTGCCAAGCCCTTGGGAGAAGGTGTTACCTCTCAACAGAAGATTCTGTCAAATGCTCCTGAACCCATCAAAATGGCTTCTTCTTCAATTGCTCCTGAAGCGTATTCATCAGAAGAATTGCACAGTAACACCCTGAATCAGCAGCCGGGTAAATCACACGTTGAAACTGAGAAATCCTATCCCACTTCGATTCCAGAACTTCCTTCTACAGAAATGATAAAAGTGAAAAATCATAATGTCCTGCAAAGAGCAGAAAAGAAAGGGATGTCTTCACCATTGGACTTACCCGTCTTTTCTGAAGAGACAGAGACTAAGGGAAATGAGGTCCCATCAGCTAAACTACAGGACAAACAGTACATCTCCTCGGTAGATAAGGCTTCATTTTCAGAAGGCTCTAGAAATAAAACGCATAAGCAGGGGAACTCACAGAATCGGCTAGAGAACTCACATCCTTCCAAGCTGTCAGAGCCCTCCAAGTCCCCAGATGGGGTAAGAAATGAAAGCAGAGAGTCTGAAATATCAAAGAGGAAAACTGCAGAGCATCACGGCTTCGGGATTTGTAAGGAGAAGAGGGCTAGGATAGACGCTGACCAGTCATCTGCCGGACGGAACACCTCGTCCAGCAGCCCACCTGAGAAAGAGCCGCCCCCAAGAGAGGAGCCAAGGGTCCCACCTCTCAAGGTATGGTACTCTTTTTTTTTTTTTTAAAGGAAAAATTCCATAGATAGGCTTTTCCTATTCAGATACTTCATTTTTCAAAAATAAATGTCACAGTTTATAATCCAGTACTCCCAGCACCAGTCTGATACTAAGTGATTCTTTTTCAGGCTGCATTGAGTTCATACAGTAAGTTTAGATACATGTATATAATTAGACCTGGGTATTTAAGGGGAAAAAAAAAATGAAGAGGGAGAACTGGGCCTGGAGGAGCCCACAGGCCACTCAGATACACGGCCTTTGGGGGACTCCAAGATGGAGGACAGAGATCTGCATAAATTTGAAGGTTAATTCAGCATTCTATAAAAGTTAGCAGAACTAGAGACAGTAGTGATCAAGTCAGAGGCATGCACTCAAGAAATGAAGGTATGTATTATCCCTTCATTTATTTGCCAACAAACACTGAACACCCTACAGTGTTTGTAGGGTGCCCAGCACAGAGGGCCTGGCTTCTGAAAGACACTCATTAAATATTTCTTGAATAAATAAATGAAATTGCTTTGCAAACCCAGAGGAAAATGCCATACATGTATACAAATGCTATTATTTTATTTCCAAGATAATTAAGAAGTATTTGACTTCACAAAATAATAAAGCCTATAGACAAACATTCCTAATTACACTTTTTATTTTGATTCTCAGGTAGATGTCAGCTCTCAGAAAGCAAACCTTTTATATAATTGAATCTGCCTAAGTGAACTGAAAATTAAGATTGATTCAAAGAATTATAAACAAACTCAGCCTTTGTTTTTCTTCATGTCTTTTTATTTTATTCTGCTCTGACATCTACTTGTAATAGGGACTCTTAATCTCCCTAAGGTTAACTTTTAAGGGTGTGATTGTAGTTATTCTGTGTAACGAATCATTCCCTATTAAATAAGATTCTGGAGATACAAAAGATGAACATTAAGCTCCCATTAAAACCCTACTATGCATTTTAATTTATGAAGCAATGGAAAGACAAATATAATAAGCATGCTTCCCCTAGGAAATACTTTTAAGTATAATATATTTAAGTATATACATATATACAAGTATATAATACATTGAAGTATCCTGTTTTTTGTCAAAAGCTGTTTTTCAAAGTGATATATACCTTTATGTAAACATATGTGGATTAGTTAGAGAAAATAAATTTGTTGTTTGTTACGCTTGATGTTTCTAATTTTTTAAATGAAGGGAAGTACTTAAAAGGAAAAGCTGAAATCCTTTTCTAAATTTATCTTTCTTTGGAGCCTTTGGATTAGAAGAGAACCAACACATGTTTGAAAATGCAAAATGAGAGCTCAGGAAGATAATTCCACCTTCCAGAGTTCTAAAGGCTAATTCCAAGTTGAAGTGATCTTGTAGTATGTGTCACGTGTTTATAATGTCAACATATGTAAGTGCACAAATGTTAAGAGAGATGTAAGTTTTCTAGGAAAAAATCTTTTTTCTAGAGGACAGACTAAAAGCATAGTACATGTCAACAGGAGAGAACAGCCTGCTGAAAGTCTCCATCACGCTCTGGTTAGATGAACCCAGAGCAGCCTATCTCCAGAGGCTCAGTGTTTGCATCTGTACATTAAGGGCTTTAACTAGATCACTTCCAGCTCCACAAATCTGTGACTCTGAATATTGTCAGTGGCTAGCACATCACAGGCCATTGCTTTGGGATATTGGTTGTTAGGTCTTAGGCTGCATGAATTCGGTGATAACTGTGCATCTCTTGGGCTTCCTTGGTGGCTCAGTGGTAAAGAATAGGCATGCCAAGCAGGAAACACAAGTTTGATCCCTGGATTGGGAAGATCCCTTGGAGGAGGAAATGGCAGCCCACTCCAGTATTCTTGCCTAGAAAATCCCATGGACAGAGAGAATCCTGGCAGGCTACATTCCATAGGGTTGCAGAGTCCGATGTGACTTAGTGATTGAGCACACACATATATGTGTCTCAGTTAGCGTGAGTAAGTGAACAGTGTGTGTTGGGACATGTATGACATTCAGCACACTGTGGATTTCCAAAACAAACTGCCCAACCCATGTTATTTTGGAGGCAGAAAACTAGAGTTGCCCTTGCTTTCAATGAAACATACTGCTAATGACAAAATCCCTTTGGAAGGCACAGCACTCACAAAAACAGCCTCACCACCTCTTTGTAAGAGCTCTGTGAAGGAAATAGACCGGAAACAGCCAGACCCGTTTTACAGCTGAATTTACAAACTCGTATTGTGTGCTTATTGCACGTATAAGGCAGCGTGCTAGCCGGTAAGGGACCACATAAAACCTACAGTCTTTGACTTGGGAGGTTGTTGGAAAAACTGAAGTACACAGCCTGGGATCACAGCTGAGAATTCTAGTCTTGAGCCGTCCTTGGGGCTTTCTCCTTTATGTCAAATTAAGACCAGTAAATTCAGAGTCACGGTCCCACTTTTTCATGCCAGCCAGGAAGATAAGTGGAAAGCTTAACTATTTTTTAGTTCACCTCATTTGAAGATGCCTGGGCTTCCTTTCCATTCATATGATGCTTTAATATGTTTGATTCCCATGTCAAATGAAGTCACTGTTTGATGTTTTGTAGATTAAAACAGAGGTTAAAATTTTTAATTTTCACATTCATGCTGCGTTTATTGCTGCTTTTTTTTTTAACCCCCAAAAGCGCATTCCTGGATTTAGGTGTTGGCCCCTTAAAAGATGCGGTTATTCCCTGCCCTTGCGTTCCTATGGTCCTCTGGGATCATGTGCACATGCGCCTCTTTGGTGCTCCTTACGCTTACTTTATCTTTTTATTTCCGCCTCCTCCCCCTTCCTGTAGATCCAGCTATCCAAAATCGGGCCACCCTTTATCATCAAGAGCCAACCCGTCTCCAAACCAGAGGCTCGTGCGTCTTCCAGCACCTCGGTCAGCAGCGGGAGGAACACGGGAGCCCGGACCCTGGCAGACATCAAGGCCCGAGCCCAGCAAGCCAGGGCCCAGCGCGAGGCGGCGGCTGCGGCGGCTGTGGCAGCCGCAGCCAGCATCGTCTCAGGAGCCATGGGGAGCCCCGGAGAGGGCGGGAAGGCCCGGACCCTGGCGCACATCAAAGAGCAGACGAAGGCCAAGCTCTTTGCTAAGCATCAAGCGCGAGCCCACCTCTTCCAGAATCCGAAAGAACCCCGGGGGCCTCCCCTGCTCGGCCCAAAGGAAGGGCCTCCAAGCTTAGACGTCATTTCTCCTGCTCCTGAAACAAAAATTGAAGGCTCACCTGGCGTCATCATTGTTAACCCGAACTGCCGATCTCCCAGCAACAAGGCCGCACACCTCCGGGATACCGCCACGGTTCTCCAGCAGCCTCTCACCCCGGCGAAACTTCCAGAAACCGCCGCGGACTTATCTGTGCATAGTTCTGACGAAAACACACCCGTGTCACACTTATCTGAGAAAATAGTTTCATCTACCTCTTCTGAAAATAGCAGTGTGCCCATGCTTTTTAATAAAAATCCCGTCCCCGCGTCTGTCTGCAGCACCGCTCTGTCGGGAGCAATTAAAGAGCATCCCTTTGTGAGTCCTGTTGATAAATCCTCTGTCCTAATGTCTGTTGACAGTGCAAACGCTACAATTTCTGCTTGTAACATAAGCATGTTAAAAACCATCCAGGGAACGGACAGCCCATGCATAGCCATTATACCAAAATGTATGGAGAGCACATCTCTCCCTGCCCCCTCGGAAGGCACAGGCTCAGCCAGCCCCCACAATGACCAGCTGGCACTGGTACCCAGCAGCAGTGCTGGCAGCCTCGTCTCTGCTCAGTACACCTCCGTGCCAGCTCCCTCGATTGGAAGCAACTTGCCCAACCATCTCTCCACTAGCTCTGTCTTGATGCCCCCAACGGGAATGAACAACAGATACCCTTCTGAGAAGATAGCCATGCCTGGGAGCGAAGAACCGGCCACCGTGCCCATGGGCACTACTGTGAGAGCCGCCCTCAGCTGTAGGGACCCCATTGCGGTCACCGACGCCCTGGTGGCACGCCCACCCGTGGCAGTGTTTTCTGGAAGCATGCTGACCATCAGCTCTTACGATAGCCCTCCCAAGTTAAGCACCGAAAGCCATGACAAAACTTTAGGGACTCGAAACAGGGGAGACCCTTCTGGAAAACCTCAGCCAACCCCAGGCGGCTTCACACCTGCAGCCATAAATCGATCCATCCCGTGTAAGGTCATCGTGGACCACAGCACCACGCTGACCTCCACACTGTCTCTGACCGTTTCCCTGGAGAGTGCGGAAGCCGGCTTGGAGCTCCAGACCCGGTCCGGGAGGACGGAGGCAGCTGGGCCACCCGTGGCCTGCCCGCAGGTGTCTGTCATCAGCAGGCCTGAGCCGGTGGCCCCTGAAGGCGGAGATCACGGTTCCAGTTTCATCGCGGCTTCCGCGGCCGAGCAAGACAGTCAGACAATGAAGGCCACTTGTCCGGGTCTTCGCGAAGGACTCCTGGTCGTTCCCGATAAATTAAAAGAGGGGGCTCCCCCGAGTCACAGCTTTGCCGAGCAGGCGCGTGGCTCAGCCGCGTTCAAGAGTGAAGCTGATACCACCTGTAGCCATCCGTACAACTCGGGCAGCCGGATCTGCTGGAGCGAGGACGGGATGCGGAGCACAGGCCAGCCTCAGCCCAACCACCCGGCTTCCAGCAAACAGAAGGACTATCTGGAGCAGAACTGTCCCAAGTCCATCAAGACCGAGCACGCCAGCTACTCGCACGTGGCGGAACTTCAGCCTCGGAGTCTCATCACAAGCGTCACACTCCCCGTGAAGTCCGAACCTCATGACGTGGACAAGGGCTTCAGGATGGACACCGAAGACTTCCCCGGCGCCGAGCTGCCTGCTCCCACCGCCGAGGCAGCCCCGAGTGCGCAGCCGCCGCAGGCCGTGAAGGCCCCCGCCTCTGGGGCCTTGGAGGAGGCCGTCTCTTTGGCCACAGACAACCTGAAGCGGGTGCCCAGCGCTGGGAGCTCCAGCTGCCGTCTGTCCTCGGTGGAGGCCAATAACCCCCTCGTCACACAGTTACTCCAGGGCAACCTGCCTCTGGAGAAAGTGTTGCCGCAGCCCAGACTGGGAGCCAAGCTGGAGATCAACAGGCTCCCCCTGCCTCTTCCGACTACCTCAGCGGGTAAAGCAGCCCCGGAGAGGAACGCGGTTGAAATGCCCCTCAGCTCGCCCAACCCAGATGGGAAGGGCTACCTGGCCGGAGCCCTGGCACCGCTCCAAATGAGGAAGCGAGAGAACCACCCCAAGAAGAGGGTGGCCAGGACCGTAGGGGAGCACACGCAAGTCAAGTGCGAGCCGGGGAAGCTGCTGGCGGACCCCGACGTGAAAGGGGTGCCCTGTGTCCTCGGCTCCGGCCTGAGTCCGCTGGCACACAGCCAGCCTCTGAAGCAGGAGTGGCTGAACAAGCACCCCGCGCAGAGCAGGATTGCTCACAGCCCTGAGGTCAAACAGCAGAAGCGGCTGCTCCCCTCGTGTAGCTTCCAGCAGACCCTGTTTCACGTCGACAAGAATGGGGGCTTCCATCCCGACCCCGGGACCTCGCACAGACAGCAGTTTTACCAAATGCCTCTGACACCCAGGGGCCCCCTTCCTCCTGCAGCCCTGTTACCGGCCTCTGCCAAGACCCCAGCGGGCTGTAACGCGTTCGCCTTCAACAGGCACCTTGAACAGAAGGGACTGGGGGAGGTTGGCCTTTCCCCGGCGCCTCACCAGCTGAGGTTAGCCAACATGGCACCCCCCAACGTGCCCATTAAAGAAGGTGATGACGTCGGGGGGACCCCACACGGAATGCCGCACAAGGCCCTGGTGCATCTCCCGCCGCCCCCGCCTCCTCCCCCTCCCCCTCCCCCCTTGGCTCTGCCCCCGCCGCCCCCACCACCGCCGCCTCCGCTACCTCCGCCTCATCCTAACCCGGAAGTCCCATCCGAGCAAAAACAACCGCCGGTTACCATGGAAACCACTAAGCGACTCAGTTGGCCACAGTCCACGGGCATATGTAGCAATATAAAATCGGAACCTCTTTCTTTTGAGGAAGGTTTGAGCAGCAGCTGCGAACTGGGCATGAAACAAGTTTCCTACGACCAGAGTGAGATGAAAGAACAGTTGAAGGCCTTTGCGCTGAAAAATGCCGATTTCTCTTCCTATTTGCTTTCCGAGCCGCAAAAGCCTTTCACCCAATTAGCTGCTCAGAAAATGCAGGTGCAGCAACAGCAGCAGCTCTGTGGAAACTATCCAACCATCCACTTCGGGAGCACAAGCTTCAGAAGGGCCACGTCTGCCATTGAAAAGTCCATTGGGGTTTTGGGAAGTGGCTCCAGTCCCACCACGGGCCTGCCTGCTCAGAACGCCCAGATGCCTGTTCAGAACTTTGCCGACAGCAGCAACGCAGACGAATTGGAACTGAAATGCTCTTGCCGGCTGAAAGCCATGATTGTGTGCAAAGGCTGCGGGGCCTTTTGCCATGACGACTGCATAGGGCCTTCTAAACTCTGTGTCGCTTGCCTGGTTGTGCGATAAAAGCCGAGTGAAAGGTGCAGTATCCCTTTTCCACTACGGAAAAGCCAAACGGCATCATCAACAATACATTGAGTCACTCCGGGGTCTATCCCGTGCTAATTTATTTTAGTTTGGAACAGAGCCTGTTTTCTCTATCTCATATTGTTTTCTGGCGTTTCTGGGAGAGGCGAGATGGCATCTCAGTCCAGGGGCTCAGCGGCATGTCTTTTGCATATTCAGTTGCCATTTGCAACTCCTGGAAAATTTCTACGTGTATGTGTGTGTATACAGGTCGCTCCCTCCCAATTTGTGGCTTAAAAAAAAAAAAAAATCCAGGTGTAGCAAGGAAAAGGACAATGTAATTACTTCATGGTAACCAGAAATGGAGATGTAGAAAGAGATGGGTAATTGCAATTTTGAGGTGGTGATGAATTCTTCTACAGGTAAACCATTCCAGTGAGGGTCCCACAGCTGGCTCCTTTGGATCTGCCTTCACCATAAGTGATGACATTCTGTTTGGCAAAGGGAATCTGATTTAAGTGTATGATTCCTTGTATTTACCCATATCACAAGAGATATTAAAGGAGGTATACCATTAATGAACTCCACTGTCCTTATTCTCTTTCTTCCCTTTTGACTCTTTTCGGAGATGGGCAGATTACCTGGGTCTGCCTTGGACATGGTATACACATCGTAGTGAAATGTCTTTTCTACCTGAAATTGCAGTGTGGGCCTCTTGCCCAGCAGTCTGGTTCAAGCCTCTTGACACCTGAGACTAAGATCAGTTGGACTACAAAGAGCCATAGGCCCAGAGGATTTCAGAGCTTTGTGCATGGCTTCTAAGAGCAAGTATGAAAAAAGATACCCTAAAATTCAGAGCAAACAAGTAAAATGCTGTGTATGCAAACACACCTAAATGGGTTGATGATGTAAATATTGGTCCATTCTATTCACTCTAATACAGTTACTGGATATTGAGATTGGGGGGAAATAATCATACCCTTTATTGATGACACCATTGCATTCTGACTTCTGACTCTGCAGAGGTTGGCCATTTCTTTTTTAAAGTGTCATTGATGACCAAAGGGACTCTAGAAGGCTGAAGTGTTGACATTTTTCCAAATAAGTTTTTTCCTCATAAGTCACGATCTCTGTAATTGCATTTGACTCTGAACTAGTCCTTTGGAATTGTTCTGGATGTTCCATGATTTGGTTTCCCCCCACCCTCAGGTGAATTCAGTGCATTCTTCACATTTGGGGGAGTGGAACTACTTTTGAAAAAGGGATACTGCATCTTACAACTGTTCTCAGTGTTTAGCCGAGAGCCTGGGTGTTGAGTATTTGAGTTGCATTCTGTGTACTTCGGCCACCCTCATGCCAGAGGACAGCTGTAGTTTCAGCAGGCTCTGTTCCCTAAAGCAAGTTCGAAAGCACATGCACATTATGGGAAGATGAAAGAACAAAAACCATGTCCATTTTAACTTCATATTACAGAGCACAAAATGGGGAGTACCTTTAACCCACTGGTTGATTGTGACTGTAGAAAATCTGGGTGTGGGTGGAATCTTCTGTATTCAGGGTAAGAATGACAAGTTGTTTTCACAAGGGATCATCCTAATCAATGTTAACTTTTGACATTCCCTTAAATTACGTCTTAAAAATCGACTGAAATGAGTGGAAATTACATTCCTGGGGATTAAAAAAAAAAACTTGCAATTTTTTTATAGTAGTCAACCATGGCATATTTTTCCCTCCGTATTTATTACTGTGATGTTGCCAAATTTTATTAAGTGATAGAGATGTCATTTTTACTAACAAATTGCTGATAGTGAAAGATACTTAGGAAGAAATCAAAGGAAATAAGGCTTACTTCTGTGGCCGAGATTCAGTGCTTCAGTTGCTGTCACTTTTGTTTTTCACATTAAAATTAGCAGAATTAATGGCTGAGAATATTAGCAATGCACTTAACCAGCCCTTCCCAAGAAAGGCAGCATTAGTTCCAGCGGATCCTTAGTTCACTGTGCACCAGGTGGTTTGAGTGGTATCCTCATTAGTGGGTCTCTATGGTCTGCTTGGCTCTGATGTTGGTTCGGAAGGGCATGCTCACAGAGGGGCACCCTGAAAACATAGACACTTGCATGCCACCTCCTCCTTCCAAACTTAGTTCCTCCTCTACCAGTGTCAGATACTGTCCACACCAGCAGATTCAACGTTACCCTAGTAACTGACACCTTGTTGAAACTCCGGTCTACAAAACCTTTGCACTCTGCATATGAGGTACAATTGAGGCTGATATGATACTGAGCTCGTTATCAGTTCCATCACTGTGGAACATTGCCCGCAAGTTACTCACTGGGAATAAAGAAAAGTGTCCTTCTCTCTTTTCTGATTTCTCACATGGTAAGTTTGGAGAATCAGTTGCTAATCACATGTGGATTCTATCACCCTGTTCCAAAGAGCATAATATTTCTCTGCCCTTGCTCTTTTTTGCCCTTGCTTAAATTCCCAGTGTTCACATATGGATTATATTACTGAAGAATTAAAGCTTTGTGCTCGAAAGATGGAAAGAAAAATTCACAGGTAAAACATAGGTCAGATATGTTATGAGTGGCCATTTAATATATATACAAAAGCCAGTATATTTGGATTAGGTGAGCAAGTTCTTGGTGTCCTGATTTCCACTGATATCTGTCTATGTGCAAATGGAGTATATTATTTACTACATGTTTACCATGGTATAATGTGCAAATTTTAGTGTGTGTGTTATCCTGGTGATTGGACACTGTGATACCCATATCAGGAACAGAGCTTGCACTTCTATCATGGATTTTTTTTTATTATTTTCACAAAGGTTGTGTTTCCCTAAGTAGCACTTTTGAAACCAGGGACGGAAGAAAACTGCTATTCCCTGATCCCTCTCCTATATGATATACATCTGCCTGAAGTTGTATAAAGACATTTAGGTAGTTAATGGGCATGCTAATATGAACGTTCTCATGCAAGAGTCATTTTCAGAATGAAAATATTTTTCCTTCCCCAAAGTGAGAATAGCAGAAATGTTGGCGACCTGAGCACCATAGTTACATAGACTATTTCCCTGCTAAGGTCTAGTTTGAAGGAAAAAACTTGAAAACAAACCTATGAAGTTGAGCCTGGTTGCTATAAAGACTTTGTGTTTATAGCTGTGTGTTTCTGGGATGAGCTGTGGAAGGTTTAGTTGACTTCTACAGATTGGAGAGTCTCACTCGTTCAAAATAAACAGACACAAGCTGGTGCGTATGGTGCTTCACAAGGCAGCCGAGAGTAAGAATCCAAGAGGCTACAGCCCCATGGCCTTATACAAACACTCGCACAATTTCTAAAGGGGAAATTACTGTGGCCTTGGCTTCCCAGTTCTCCTGGGTCTGGTCAAATCCCAGGTAACAGAAGCTGAAGCCAAGCTAAGGGTCGCATCCGCTCTGTAGTGTGGAGGCCAGCACTGGGGCAGCCTGGAGGGAGAGAGCCCACCAAACGCATGGGGCCCAGTCACTGTCCACGTTTCTAGAGAGCAATGTGAAGAGTCCTAGAAAAGGAACTCACCAGGCTGTCAGGGCCCGATGTAGCCAAAATGTCACTGAATAGAAAAGAAATCTTGTGTTTAGTCCTCATGCTTTGTCACTGTAAAGCGAACAAAAAGCATTTTTACTATAATTTAAAGGAGCTGCTTTTTTTATAGCACATACTATTTCGCTTTGTACTCTCTTTGATAGTTGCAGAATAATTTAGACTGTAGAAAAAACTTTGTTGTATTTGTACTGTTCATGAATGTTTCAAAGAAAGTGCTTTACTTGGTTGCCATAATTTTTCTTGTACTGCTGTATTTTTCCCCCTGGCTTCATGGAAACCTAATCTGACTCATATTTTCAGTACACTTTTTTAACGTGTGTTTGTGTGTATTTTTTTTCCCTTTGGTCAGTATTCTGAATGTTTACATCTGTTTGACATTAGCCATTTAATGCCTTTTTTAAAAGGCGGTATTACTCTTACAGTGTAACAGCAAAATGTGAATCAACCCAAACATAACATGCATGATAAATACAGATTGGGGGGCGAAGGCCCGAACGTACACAGACATTTTATATCAGCATACAGCAAAGTCCAACCCTCCTTCAGCCCTCTACCAAAGAATATATTATTCCCACAGGAAAAACTCAGAAAAGGTGTGTAAAATCCTCAGAAGGGGGAGCAGTTGAATCAGTAAGACTGCTACAGTTTAATACTGTTCCGCTTGCTTTGATACCTGACTAAATGTGACGGAGTGCAACAAGCATTGAAACAATTTTTAGGCAGTGTTTTGTTTAGAATTCAGGGATCATGCATTCTTTAATGGTGCTGTTTGTTTTTTATTTCTTTTCTACAAAGGAAAAAAAAAGTGTTGCCTAAAAGTGACTGCTCACGATACCATAAGTTAAATGAAATGTTTGTCTTTTCATGTTTCTGTTTTTCCCTTTCTCTAAAGTAATGATTTGGGTTTCAATATTAAAATATTCTGGGAGAAAATAAAGAAATTCAACCTTAAATTATTGTCATTTCTGATTTTTAATATGAATTTTAAATTTTTAATGAAATGAAATGGTTAATATACATAAACATAAAATGTACTAATAAATACATTGAAAATTTTACTTAACAAAAATTTTATAAGGAGAATAAACCATATACTCTTAAATTTTTTACCCTTATTGGTATGGTGAATTTTCAACATATAGTTGTAACTATTACTACAAAGGTTTCCCCTTTGAAATTAATCATATCTATTATGCTTATTTAAAAATATATTTGAATCTTCTTGTTTTCATACAAATAGTGTTAATTCTTTATACCAAAAGGCAGGTAAGTCAAATTGTTACTACCATATTTAACTTTCAAAATGAATTACCTCTCAAAATTCTTTTTTAAAATAATTGCTGGTTAGTTTTCCTTCTCTTGCATTAAATATTACAGATAGATTGATATGAATAAAATGCTCTGAACTATTAAAA